ATCAGCTGTTTCGAACTCTCTGAAGGTTGTGTATAAAGGAGACATTCCTTGCCGTTGATTAATACCTGTGGGATGCGGCACGCATTCTACTTCCCATTCGGAATCGCAGTGGCTTATTGAATGCGATGTGGCCTATACAATGACTTGCGGTGGCCAGCCGATGTACAAGTCAGTGTTTTATCCTCCCAGACGAATCTGGTACCAATTCACCGTCCCCGGAGGGTAGAAGGCTTGGTTGGCCTGGGCGGGAGTCGACCCAGGATTTGACCCAGGACCGTGCGCGTGATAAGCGAGCCACTTGCCTCTACACCACCTCCGCTTCATGTGGATGTTATTGCTGTGTGGAGGTTACTGCCTTCCCCTGGAAGAATCGAAAGAGAAAGGAATAAAAAATTGCGTAATCTCCCCGATATGCTGTTTGCAACCGTTTTTCAACAATTTCGTTCTAACAATTTTGACATCTAGAGGAGCTGTAACGATTCAGTGCAATTTGCGCCGATTGTCGTCTTTGCAGTTTGACAGGTCATCCCGTCACCTGTCACACTCTCACTGGTCTCACCTTTCTTCTCAAACAAACATCAGGGCTAGGCAGCAGACGCCTACAAAACTGATCGTCAGGAACTCCTTTATCGAAAAGATAGTTTACCGGTCTCTTCAGTAGAGTCAAGTTATCTCATATCCTTTTGTAAGGAGGTTTCTTGATCAAGACGATTCCGTACCTGGACGCTACCGAGAAAATGGGACGAGTTCTCTCGATTTCTTGTCCGCGTACTTTCCACATCGCGCGTGAACTGGGTCGCAGCTTTTTTGCGCTAATTAGATCGCAGAAATCGAGATGCGTCGTGGAAACTTGTCAGCGAGGGAATGTTGGCAGGAATTGTTGGCGGACAACGTCTCTGGACCAGTGCTACTTTCAGAAACTGATTTCTCAAAATTGGAAATCTTGCAAGGACTACGCAAATTTTGTTGCAATTTCTTGAACGTGAACGCGAAGGCGATTGGGTGGAATAACGTGACCGATGCGCTGCTCACACTCAGTTGGTCATGGGAGACTCGTGTGGGTAAAACCCCGAGCTGTCTCTGCAGTGATGCAGCTCGTAATCCTCAGATTGTATTCGGCCAGACTAATTGCAACTTTGTTCCGTTCCTGATCCGACCATAAAACATACAAGCGGGGACAGTCTACTTAAGTGCTGATTCCCGCTTTCAAATAGGTGGAGGTGGTGTAGTGGCTGGATCTGTCGATCAGGTACGCCTGGTCCTGGGATTGGATCACGGATCGGATGCTGTTCAGATTGTTCACTTTTTCTGTCTACTTGCTCCGAAAAGCATCGTAAGGAAAAAAAGCCAACTTCATCTCGAAAGGGCGTATCAAGCCGCTGGGGAAAAACTGAATTAATTAATTAAACTGCAACCCCTCTACTCCATTCGACATGGTCCTTTCCTGGATTTTCCTACTTCTTACAAGTTTCACTGAAACTCCTTTTCTAATTTTCCGTGAAAGGAAAAGTCAACAATCCTGGAAGAATTTTCTTTCGCCAACGCCGCAAATTTCTCTCGAAGGCAAATACGACCTCTCCCTTCTCCCAACAACGAGCAAACACGACTATCCTAATAGCGTCCGTGAAACAAGAAAAATCGGCTTTATTGAACCATTCCTACCCCAAAAACTCAAAAAAATTTTTTCGCTGAAACGTTGCCTATAGATGTAGTCGATGCGCTGATCACGAATATAACATCCGTTTCGAGCGCTGGCGTCATTTGGCGCCATTATGCGCCAATTTGGCGCCCACCACTTTTTTCACCAAAGTCGATGAAAACTTGCATATGGGGGTTAATTGAGGTCCTGATTACGAATCCAACATTTATTTTTGGCGCTGGCGCTTACGCGCCATTTGGCGCCATATTGGCGCATAATGGCGCCAATGGCGCCAGCGCTTGAAACCAGTGTGATATTCGTAATCAGGACCTCAATTAACCCCCATATGCAAGTTTTCATCAACTTTGGTGAAAAAGTGGTGGGCGCCAAATTGGCGCATAATGGCGCCAAATGACGCCAGCGCTCGAACGATGTGATATTCGTGATCAGGGCATCGAATTACACCTATAGACAACGTTTCAGCGGAAATTTTTTTTGAGTTTTTGGGGTAGGAATGGTTCAATAGTGCCGAAAAATCAACTATCAAAAAAATTTGTTGGACTGAATACGTCTCCCCCTGTTGAGAAATCTCCAACGGTGATGTGCCCTGTTTCTGACTACTTGATCCGAAATGCATCACAAGGGAGAGAAGCCAACTTCATTTGGAAACCCACGGTGATGCGAAACCATCGCTGCAGAAGTGCTGCGAAAAAACAACAGCACAGCAGCAACTGCAGCTTTGTTCAAACGCTGCGCCGTTCGTAAACGAAAAG